TATTCTTGGAAACTTAAAGCAACACATCTTGTTTCTTCCCAGAAAATACAGAAACCTTCATATTTCTGGTTAGTTGGTTTTATTTCTATTGCATATCAAACTTCAAAAGGGCAACAGCTGAGTGGTGGTTAACAAGGAAAACTTTAATAAGAGCTGGTTACCCAGGATCCTCTGGCTAAAAAAGAAATCCTGACTACCTTCTTTTGGGGTGAGGGGAAGGATAGCCACCAAAGGCTTTGCACCCCAGTTCTCTAGACAAAAGGCTTGAAGCTCAGACTCACTGAGTCCTTCTGAGTGCTAGGTCAGCCCTTTCCAGTTCATTTCCAACTGATTCCTGTGTGTTTTCAGTTCATTACCACTACTTTCTTTGAGGTTCCCTAGTTACACATGGGAAAATAAATGATTTGTCTAAGTCTACACAGAGAGGAGGTGAGTTTGAACTCAGATCTTCTAAGTGGAAGGCCCTTGTCCTCTAGTTTTAAAGTATACAGGTTGAGGCTGGGCACAGCGGCTCATGCCTGTAATCCCAGCACTTTGAGAGGCCTAGGCAGACAGAGCACGAGGTCAGGACTTTGAGACCAGCCTGGCCAATATGGTAAAACCCTGTCTCTACTAAAAATACAAAAAGTAGACAGATGTGGTGGTAGTCCCAGCTGCTTGGGGGGCTGAGACAGAAAAATCGCTTGAACCTGGGAGGCAGAGGTTGCAGTGAGCCAAGATCGTGCCACTGCACTCCAGCCTGGGCGACAGTGCGAGACTCCATCTCAAAAAAAAAAAGGATATGTGTTGAATATACCTAAACTGAAATCTGCAATGCTCCAAAACGTAAAGCTTTTTGAGTGCTGACATGACACTCTAAGGAAGTGTTAATTGGATTCTTCCGGATTTTGGATTTTTGGGATTTGGGATACTCAACCAAGTAAGTATGATGGACATCTTCTAAAAAGAAAGAAAGGAAATAGAAATCCAAAACACTTCTGGTCCCAAGCATTTTGGATAAGGGATACTCAGCTTGTATATAACTCCTTCCAGAAAGCTAGTCTCAGTAGTCATGAATGATGTTTCTTTTGCCCTTCCTTTTGATGTGATGATGTCCGGGCCATTTGACGAATCAAAGGAGTATTGGTTACTGCATACGTGATCTCACCGATTCCTTAGAGCCCTATGAGTGGGGAGAACAGGCAGCCCTCCATACCCATTGGTCTCATATCACAGATACAACCAACTGTGGGTTGAAAATATTCAGGAAAAAAGAAAATGATTTCATCTGTACTGAATATGTACAGTCATTATTTCCTAAACATGCGATGTAACAACTATTTACATAGCACTTATATTGTATTAGGTATTATAAGTAATGTAGAGATGATTTAAAGTATACAGGTATTGATCGACTTACCACCTATGCAACTTAAGACCATTCGACTTTATGACCACAGTCGCTAGCCACGACTGCTCCGCATCTGGCAGGGCAAACGTTGCCCAGCTGGGCATATGACAGTGCGGACCAGCTTCCGGCAGCACTACCATCTCCGCGTGCATCATTTCAACTGTACATATAGCCTACTCAACTTACGACCAAATTGTGTTACAGCCGGTCCGCAGTCCCGACCGTGGTCGTAAGTCGAGCCCTGGCTGTACAAGAAAATATGTGTAAGTTATATGCAAACACTACGTCATTTTATACAAGGGACTTGAGCATCTATGGATTTTGGTATCTGCATGGGACCCTGAAACCAATCTTCCATGGATACTGAGGGAAGCCTGTATTATCCCTATTTCACAGATGAGAAAACTGAGGCCAAGATGGATGAGATAACTTGCCTAGGGCTACACAGCTAGCAAGTGCTTGAGACCAAAGTCACACTCAGGTTGCCCTGACTCTAAATATTCTGATGCTATCCCGTGAGGAAAGCTACCTGCCATGGATGTTAGAGTCATGTTTAAGGTCTTTGACTTAACTTGGAAAACCAATTATAAAGGGTGAGACTGGGCTGTTTAGATCTAGGGTGGCAAGTCTGAGCCTGGTACAGGCAGCTGGGCTACTTATCTCCCCCTGCAGCCATCTCCCTCCACCTCCCCTTATCTCACTCTAGATAAGGGCTGGTTTCTGGAGCTCCCACGCCTATCCAGCCGTCAGCACCACCTTTAGCTCTTTCTCCACTGGAGCCGGACGACGAAGTTGTTCGTTCATCTTCTGGGGGAGGAGGGGTGGCTATAGGGGTGCGGAGGAGACAGCTTCTTCCAGTTTGTAAATTATTGTCTGGCTTGGTGCCTCTAAACTGTTCATAATTTTAGACAGGGAGTAGTTGGCCACTTGGAGAACTGATTTACAAACCTGTTTGCTAACCTGGCGCATTTCCCCAGGTACAAATCTGCCTTCTGGGGTGGATGCAGCGTGTGTTACCACATCTACTGAGTGCCTCCCGGGGCCTGGCTCTGCCATCATCCATGTTGCTTGCCCTTCACAGCAACCCTGCAAGGATGAGAAGATTATTTGTCTGTTACAGTAGGGGAAACTGAGAATCAGAAGTGGCTTATGTGAGGCGATCGCTCTGAAGCCTTACAGTTTTCTCTGTACTGCTTGCCTGTCCTCAGGAAAGACTGCGGGGTAGCAGGCGAGTTCAGATGGCCTTGTCAGCCTGCCACTGCAGCCTTTGTTCAATGCTGGGCACAGAAGTGGGTCCAAAGATAGATAAAGACTGAGGGTGTTAATATGCTCTGCAAAGCAAATGAGTCCCGCCTTCTGTTTATGCTCTCTGGGTGGCAAGTGTTGTACATGGGGTAAGTGGAGACGCAGGAGGAGGCAGTGTTTATGTGAGTCATGCCCAAGTGAGCAGAGGGGACGCTCATAGAGCCCGGAGAGCATCTGTGAAGGAATCCATGCTTGTCGCGCCAGGCAGGGCGCAGAGCCTGCTTGCCCAGTCTACTGAAGTTGTTGAGTGTCATAGACCAGGGCCACTGGGTAAGGCCTCATGGAGGACCCAGCCTGGCTGGGGCAGGGAAGCTGGCCAGGCCTGAGCAGGGAATGAGTGCTAGTCTCCATTCAGACAAGTACAGTGCCAGGCATCTTGGAAGCTCTTGGGGAAAGAGAGAAGGGAGGGTAGGGTTCTACAGAGTTGCTGGGATCCCCTCACCCCCAAGTCTGGGCCTCCAGTGTCTGAGACCTCACCTGCCCAGCAGGCTCCTCCTGGCAGGCGTTGCCCGGTGAGCTTCTGTGCTCCTTTCATGCGCTATTCTTCCCCCTTCTCTTCCAGCTCCTCTCATTGCTGCCTGGACAGCCCCTTAGTTGCCTTCTGTCCTCCAGCCTCCTGCTCCAGTCCACCGCCGCCCTCTCATCTTCCCAGCCTTGTTTCCCCCTACTGCTCTGGCTCCTGCTCCTCACAGCCCACTGGAGAGGCCAGGACCCTTCCTTGTCCTGGAGGGGACACCTGCCACCACGTGCGCTGGACATCCCCATCACAACTCCTCAGGAATCCTGAGCCTTGAAGTTGCTGTCATTTCATCACTGTCCCACTCTTTCCACACTCACACCCCCATGTGGCGTTTCCATTGCCTGGAATGTGCACTCTCCAGTCTTCTGGTAAAACACCTCTCATTCCTAAAATTGAAGCTCTCTTGACACTTCCCTCTTACGTCCCCTCTGGCCTCCTCGAGGCTCTGCTGGAGACTGCCTGCTCTGGGCTTCCATGCCCTTGGTTCATTTCCGCAAGCGCTTGCCTGTCGTCTTGTAACCTGTCTTCCCCTGTAGGCGGGGCCTGAGCCTATATATTCCCAGCCCGTTGAGTGGTGCCCGACCCTTGCTACCTCACCAATAATTGAGTGAATAAGAGATTAAGGAGGAAGACAAACACCATTCTCTGCTTTTGGTATTATAAAACCATCCCACAATTCAAACGTGTCCACGATGAACCCTCCCTATCTGGGGAGCGCAGAGCTGCCGTGAGGTCTGTGCTCTGTGTGTTGCTCACCGCCCCTTGCCAGGCCATGTCGCTCGGTCCGCTGTGCCCTCTTGCTCAGAGACCCCTACAGCCCTCCTGACAGCTGGGTCAGCCCCAGCTCCTCCACATTTGTCTTCTTGCACCAGCTTTGGATTCTGGAAAAACAGCTAGTGCTTTGGAAAATCAGCTCTACTTTATTTTTGTTCCTTTGAAACTTAAATGACTTTCCTAAGAAATGTCTGAGGTTAGAATGGTGCAGAAAGGACCATGGCCAAGGCCCAGGCAAGCTATTTTTGGGATGTGAATGAGCACCCATCGCATTTTTCCCTTCCATCAGCCGAAGCACTTGTTCCAAATAGCTCACAGCCCAGCCTTACAAAGCACAGGCCCCCTTTGCACATGGGGAGGAGGAGGTCCACGTGTCTCTGTCTGTCTGTGTGTCTGACTGAGGTGGATGATGTACGGCCAGCCAATACCAGGAGCAGAAGTTGTCATGTGTATAGGGAAGAGCCTTGCTCTCTGGTAACTAATGAAGAAAGACTTTAAAGCTGGATGTCTAGGGAGAGGTGGGTGGTCATGGACTCTAGAGAGACGCTTTCTGGATTGTTTTCTGGGCATTCGTGTATGTGGCTGGGTTATATTCATATCAGCCAACCGATTTGCAGCACCAAGAGTGATAGACTTTCAATGGTGCTAGATCTAGCGTACTTTTCTGGGTTATTTTCCTTTTTCTAATCACTATTTGCAGGACCATCTGGCTCAGAGCAAGACTGACCAGTACTGTTGGCATTAGCCAGGGCATAGCCTTGTGCAATCTGTGGCACTTTCAGCCAGAAAGAGGAGCGGGGTATAGGGGTGAGATTACCTGCCACGCCACATTGACAGGCCAAAAGGCACAATTCTGTATCTTTTATAAGTGTTTCTGTTTAGGATTGAACACTAAGTATTATGGGTAGCATTTGAGTATCTTAAAGAAATTGTATTTTTACTTCTCAGCACCCGTCCCCCACCCTACCCTCATTGTCCAAAGCTGACCTCTGCCTCCCCCTACTTTCGCAGGTGTGACGTGTCTCCAGGTACTTCATGCTGTCTGCCTCTGTCCTCGCCACACCACTGGTGCGCACGACTCCTGAACCATGGGGGAGAACGAGGACGAGAAGCAGGCCCAGGCGGGGCAGGTTTTTGAGAACTTTGTCCAGGCGTCCACGTGCAAAGGTACCCTCCAGGCCTTCAACATCCTCACACGACAGCTGGACCTAGACCCTCTGGACCACAGAAACTTTTATTCCAAGCTCAAGTCTAAGGTGACCACCTGGAAAGCCAAAGCCCTGTGGTACAAACTGGATAAGCGTGGTTCCCACAAAGAGTATAAGCGAGGGAAGTCGTGCACGAACACCAGGGTAAGGAGAAAACCCGAGTCCTACCTTTGCAGGGCGTGTGCATTTGACATGTGGGAGGTTAGGAAGCTGTCGCCATTTTGCCACTCTGAGGTTCTTAGTAGGTGTGGGTGTGAATGTTGCATTGGTTTGCTTTGGTGAGGGTTTCCTTTGTACGCGTCAGCTTTTCCTGGCTGGGAGGTTCCCTCTTCTCATGCCCTCTCCAAGGGAGGGAAGCCAGAGGCAAGGCTGAGGGAGAGAAGCCCGTGCTTGATAGCACCCCTGCTTCTACTATTCCTGCTGCCACTGCTACTACTTCTAGTAGCTGCTATTTATTGAGAAGCTTCTAGGTACAAAGTACTTTATGTCCATGATTTCAGTGAACAGCTGCAGGCGTTCTTTGGGCCATTTTAGAGACGTGGACATTGAGAAGTCGGTTGTTCCCAAGGTCACACAACTAGAGGGCAACCTTAGTCCGTCTGATCCTAGGGCTTAAGCCCTAAATCTCTGGGAGAGGCATAGTTAGAGAGTTGTGCTCCCCTGGGTATGAACATTTAAGAAAGATCCCCTGGTTTTTAATTAATTGGCTAAGAGATAGGCATAGGTCCTTACTGCCTCTTCCTCCCTGTCTCTTTCTCTTCCTCCTGATTCCCCTGCCCTCTCCACCTGCCACTCCCTTCCCCAGGATGCATTTCTCTACCTAGGACCACACTCATAGTTAAGCCTGCACACTGATTGCATCCCCCTTCATTTGGCTACAGACAGCATGGGTGAACGTAGGCTCACTATCACAACCTTTCTCTGACATTCCTGAAATGCCCACCACCAGATGGGCAGCTGGGAGTCCAGGTGTCTCAGCTGACTTCCCTGGTGGCCGTTGGGGGCTATCAGCCCTGGGCACTGGTCCAGGCTGTGTGTTTAGGTTAAAATCAAATGTGCTGTATTTAGACCTCACAGGAGATAGCTCAGCTAGAACCCTAGGAATTCCAGTCAGTGCCAATCCCAGGACAAGAGGATTGAACTCTCCATGGCAATCGGGACTGTTTTGTTTTTGTTTTGGTGATGAGAAGCTGTTGAGTCCACCAGGGGATACGCTGCTTTCCACTGCCCCAAGGGAGACAGCTGCCAAGCTCCTGCAAGCCTGGGGCACTCTGACACTGAGGGACGTAGGAAGAGCATTCCATCAGGTTGAAATAGACCAGTTGCCTCAGCCCAGAGCAGACTAGGCATCCAGGCAGTGCCTGCCCATAACCTGCCAAGCTCCAGCTAGGCAGAGGAGATGGAGGAAGTAGGAAAAAGGAAGGGATAGGAGAGGGTGAGACCAGTGTCCTGGGTGCCACTCCCACCCAGTGACTCCTTTCCTTGTTGTTGTGACTTCATGGTTCAGAGTTCACTGGGTGGCTCTTCAGAGTTAAAGGAGGGGAAGCTTTTAGCTTTCCAAGTGCCACCCCCTCAGTAATTGTATATGGTGGCTTTCTTTTTTTTAAAGGTCTCATAAAAGTCAGGTGGCCCAACTGCACTGTGTTCTTTCACAGAGGATTTTCAGAGCTCTGTTTTGATTAGGGAATGTCACTGTCCCATATACCCAATATGAGTGGCTGCTGGGGGACCCTCTTGGTGAGCTGAGGGCAGATTGTCACGGGGAGCCAGCCAGTAGAGGGATGCAATGGAGGGCTGCCCACCAGGAAGAGACCCTTCTTCCAAAATTTACTAGCCAGTTGCCTAGCCGGTGTGGCCAGCCTCTATTTTACAAGCTTTGGTAGCTTGAAATAGAACAGTCATCACATCTTGTGGTTGGCAGGTCACCACTGGCTTCTGAGATACAAAGGGAAAGAAATCGTCTTTTGTTAGGGATGCTGGGTAAGGTGCTTCTTGCCCAGGAATTTTTATGCCTTTCTTGTGAGGAGGAACAAAGACATTTTCCATGTGAGGTAACTCACCTCACCAAAACCGCCTGAATGCTGAGGAGTGGAAGATACGTTTGAGAATGCATTGTAAGTACGGACTGTGACTGTGTTAGGCTTCTTGAGCTGTGCTTTTCAGAAACCCAGCTCAAAATAGCCACAAAGAACAGGGAAATCATTGACTCATTTTCACAGGAAGGTGCAGGCACTTTAAGTCTGGACCTTAACTTGGATGCTTGGATGCTTTGCTCTCTGTTGGCTCCATGCTTCCCTCCTGCAAACAGATTTTTCTCCATGTCCGAAGCCTCTCATTCACATCTTTATAGCTCCATCCCAAAAGGCTGGAATCTTTCTCTTCCAGCTCAATATTAAAAAATCTCAGGGAAGGATTCTGATTGGCCCACCTCTGGATTTATGATAGCCAGAGCCAGGGGAACTGGTTACTGGAATTGGTAGCTCTTTCAACCATCACATGACCGATGTGAGGGAGGAGCAGGTCCTTCAAGGATGTGGGAGTGAGACAGATAAACAACAGATGTCCTTGGCTGGCCGTGGTGTCTCACGCCGAGGCAGGTGGACCACTTGAGGTCAGGAGCTCGAGATAAGTCTGGCCAACATGATGAAACCCCATCTCTACTAAAAATACAAAAAAATTAGCCAGGTGTGGTGGTGGGTGCCTGTAGTCCCAGCTATATGAGAGGTTAAGGTGGGAGAATCACCTGAATCCAGGACGCAGAGGTTGCAGTGAGCCGAGATCACGCCTCTGCACTCCAGCCTGGATGACAGAGCGAGACACTATCTCAAGAAAAAAAAAAGAAAGAAAGAAAAGGAAAAAAGCCATAAAAAATGGTTGTCCTCTACAGCGACTGTTGATTTGTATTCTGGCCATGGTAGAGGCCCCTTGCATATCACATTCATGTGTGAGTGGTTAATGGCCAGCTCTGTGAGGCCAGTGCTTGCACTCCTCATTGTAAGTCAAACAAAACCCAGGGCAGGGGTCCTCACCTCTTCTAACGTGAATAGACACTGTCTTGCTCACGTACCATGTTCAGGCATCCTTTGGTGTAATGGTTTATGCTGAGCATGAGTCAAGGAAGAAATACTGGGCCTTTGTATGCATGTGGCTGATTGTCAATGCTAAGCCAGATGGCACAGGTTTGTCAGGTACCAGGCATAAAGCCAAGCTCCTGGTTAGCCATAGGCAGATCAGGAATACACGAAATTAAGCCAGAACCCTGACCTTTGTGCTGATATGGATGCATCTGAGCACCACCTGGCGTGGGTCTGGGCTTAAGCATTTCATAGGCGTTTATCAGCCCCTGCCATGGGCTGAGCATCATGCTCCTGCCTCCATGCCACCAGTGAGTATGTGTGTATATACACACATGAGTGTGACAGTGGTGAGAGATTGGGGACCAGGATCTATCTGGAGAAGAAGGGCTCTAGTGGAGGTGCCAGGGGACAAGGAGGGCTGCCGGAAAGTTCTCTAGAGCAATGGCTCAGGTGCCAGTTGCAAAATCTCACTTGGGAGTATTATTTGTTATTGATGATTATGTATGAGGGTTTTGTTGCAGTGAATATTAATAACTCTTTCACTGGGAGTGACTCTGTCTGGATAAGAATGAGGGTGAACTGAGGATCAAGCCAAATGAACTCTTTCAGGATTGACACTGGCTCTGTATGAGGGTAACACCTGCTCCAGTGTCACACTCAGCTGAGTAAAACAGTGTCACTGAGGAACACAACCCAGAAGAATCTGCAAGGTGCAATTTGGTATGGGAAATGCTGTAATCACAAAATTGTGGACTCCGTTTATTTTTACATATAAATCTTCGATGCTAGAAGGAACTTAGCATAGCAGATGTTATGTGCAGTGTCTGCATTTAACAGGCCACAAGCAGGGGTCCAGAAAGCTGACGATGGTGGCACTACTGGGATCTGGACTCTACTGGTTTACTCTTATGTTCTTTTATTTGTTCATTAGCAGGTGTTCCAGTGCCCTGTGCCTTACCAGGCATCTGACAGGGAGGATAGTTTGGAAGATAAATAAGCTGTGGTTTCACTTGAGCTTTCTATAAAGGCAGATATATAATTATTTCTGTATTCACTTATTTAATCATTCATGAGGTGAATAGTTATTGAGCAGCTAGTATGTGCCAGGCACTCGTCTAGGTATCTACTAGCTCTGTGGCCTTGGGCAAGTTAGTTAATATCTCTAGTCCTCAGTAACATTCTCTGTAAAATGAGGATAATAAGAGTAGCTACTTCATGGAGTTACCAAGAGGGTCACATAAGGTAATGTTTGTAAAGCGTAGAAAGGTGTCTAGCATTCTGATAAGTGATCAGTAAACATTTAGTCCTTATTATCATTAATATCTTAAGAGCTATGAGAAAGGTATATACACTGGTCTGCAGGAGCATAGAAAAGCCAGTGACTAACTGTGACGGGGTAGTCTGGGAATGCTTCCTGGAAGAGGAGGTTTGATGTGAGGCTTGGCAGATGAGTAGGAGTTTACGGTGTAGAGCTGAGGAAACAGCTAGAGGGAGTGCAAAGAGAGAGATAGATTCTAGGAAGAGTGTGTTGCTCTGTAATGGGAAAGGAGGAGTGTGGGACATGTGGGGGAAGGGTGAAAGCCAGAGAGCACAGAGTGGATGCATAGTAGGAAAGGCTGGAGGAAAAGACCTCCTGGTCCAGGCGGTGAACAGAGGGTCTCTTACACGAACAGTGGACCTGGGAAACCAGGAACAATGAGCCCCTGATCCCCAATCCCGTCCAGGGTTCTTTCCACTCCCTGCCCCTCCAACCCCCAATCACACATACAGGACTGCTCAGTAATCACAGGTACAGACCAGGGGGTATTTGCACATTGTTGCCATAAAAACTCGCTTGCAGGAAATGACTCATGGACTCTTGTCACTAGCAGGAATTGGGCTAGCCTATGTAATAATCTTGCGTTATCTTTTTGGAAGGATGTGACTATATTTGATGAGCATCCAGCAGGGTCACCACACACCTTTTGCTCCTGGACCGCTGCTCTGTGTGCAGCCCAGGCCCCAGGTTGTGCTGAGGACTAGCTGGTCCTATGGTCTCCAGCTTCCTCCATAGACTGCAGCAGGGAG